GCACGGAAATTTAAATAGATATCCGAGATCGATATACCTGGGAGGCTCAGGGACGCGTGGCGGCTCTATTTACTCTCTACCTCGAGTATTATTCAAGTATTATCGAATATTTGTGGTGAAATCCTGACACAAGTTCTGCGAATAATTATATCACGAAAAGTTCAGCCTAATTTCGACATATGGCACTCATTTTTCTTTCGCTCTCCCACCGAAAATTCTCACAGCTTGCATGGAGTTGGGATTCGATAGTCCCTGATTTTTTCCTGCCAGATTCTTGCTGCCTAAGCAGCTCACAAGCGACCCGAACGGAGAGAGGTAGAGGAGAGGACATCATGATTGAGATTCGTCTTGCTTTCAAGTTAGCAAAGCGGGATATTCTAGCTGTGAAATAACTGTTGGTCTTGGATTCGTCGTTCGAGAATGGTCAGACGGTCCGCATCGCCTCAGCGGGCCGCCAGCAGCCTTTCGGAGATTAAAAAAAATCTGTGTCGGGTATATCCGACGCGCCCTCTTTTCCCCCCTCACTGCCTTGCCTTTCAAACGCTGTGCTCAGCGATAATTATCTATTCGTCATAGCCAATTGTTTTCTAGAAGCATTGATTTAGACCTCGAGATGGTGAGTATTCGAATTCGTTTGCAGTTTCCAATGATTCCAAACCAAAATCTGATTTAATGAGCCTGACCTAGCTTGCTGGGCTTGACGATATCTTTTCTACTATTTTTCTGAGATTTTCTCTCTCTGTTCAGTGGCTATGTTGCTCACCTTTCCGTTTCCGCAGACGTTACATACGTGGGGCTTCATCTTATACGCCACCTAAAATCACGAGTTCGATCCTTTGACGCAGGACAACTATGGTGCGTACAATGACTCTTACTCCCTGAGGCTATTGCGCCTTCTTCCCATTCAATGATTCCCAAAAAAAACTGATTTTAATGAGTACGACCTAGTCCGCTAGGTTTGACGATATTTTCTTATACGACTCTGAGACTCTTATTCCTTTCGACCTTCTAGAATGTAATGATCATTGCTTACGGTTTGGCTTTTTTCAGGTGGTCGAGTTACCGATGTCTATTGCTGCATACACTCTCCGTGCGCTTCGCAATCAAGGAGATAAACCTGTGTATTGAACGATTCGAAATCAATCTTCTACATATTTCAGCCTACGCATCGAGAGCGCTCATGAAACGTTCCCCTCCTACTTGTCTGTTTTCGGGTTGTGTGTTCATAGCATACTTCAGACTATGCCATGTAGAGGAAGGCATGTATCCTTCTTTATCCTGAAGAACCACGCTCTCGTAACGAACGCAAAAATAGTGATACGTTGCTAGGACACGACGGCAAATTTGTGTTACTGAGACTTTCGTCTTACATTTTGCTGCTGAATTTCTTGGAAGACTGCCGCTGACGATGCTCTTCAGGAAGGAACCTAGAGCGGTTCGATGTCTATCAACAGCGTTGAACGTATGTTCAGCCAACGGTCTTACCTACGTCGGAGGCGCGCGCAATCTGAAATGACAGCGGGAACAGTTCCTCCCGGCCGTGTTCGACTCCTGACTCGCGGCTGAAGCAAAACATATCCGCTGGCGAATACAATCGATCCTAAACTTTGCCATTGTGTCGTTCACTGCTTCCCCGATCCAGTACAGCCTCCCATTCATCGCTCACCACCCAGAGGGGTACGACCGCGTCAGCTGGTCGCGAAACCGCTATAAAAGCTGCCATCTGCTTACCTTCAAATCTCATCACCTTCAACTTCTACTTGCAGCCTTTTGATCTTCTTCGTCTTCTTGAAAACTGATCATTTTCATCTCTTACTTTTTCACTTTGTTTTCAATGTCTTCTTCAATCCTCTTCTTCATCTCCGCTCTCTTTTTCACTGCCGCTATCGCGTCTCCCTTGGCCGCCCGTGATGTCACCCCAGGCTGTCATCCCAACTTCGAGGGTGCTGCTCTCACTCTGACGACCCCGAGTGGCGCAAACTCGTGGTCAGCCAAGCCCACTGTCGGCGCTCCCGTCATTACTGGATCTTCGCCTTCCAAGTTCTTCTTCCAGCAGAACGGAAATCCTGTTGTCAGCTACACAGTCAAGTACGCGTAACTTTACCTTTATTTCGAACTCTTGCTTATGAGATTTTTACAGGACCGTGGAAAACAACAACTTCGCCGTCCAACTCAACGGTGGAGCTCTGTCCATGGCCAATGTTGACTGGTCAGGTAGCAATGCGTACGTTGTCTCTGGTTTTTGATGCATTTTCGTCACTGATCCCATATACAGGAACCAGAAGTGGATGGTTGACTGCTCGACGTGTGCTACGGGCATTTCCGGCAAGAAGGGCGTCGTCGCCTCGGGATGCAGCATCACTTCCAACACTAACGGGCTGTGTGTCACGAACCAACCCGGTGCTCAGTTGACGTTGTCTAGCTGCAACAACTCCGCGGACCAGAAGTTTGACTTCTCGGTTTGAAGAATGACCGAAGAGGAGAGTGGGTTGTAGGATTTGTTTTTTTGGTGTGGTTCCTTTTTTATTTTATTTCTTTTTAAGTATCTACATGACATTCGTTTCATGGACTTATCGTAGTAGTGGTATGCATGCATAGCCGGGGGAATTTGATTTGATTGTTAACAATTATCTTTGCGGCGAGCTTAATTCCGAAAATGGAGAGGGGCACCTAAAATGGCATTATTTGGTAGGGTCGGAGTTCGTTGGTGGGAATCTAGCTTTGATCTAGCTTACTCTTGGATTAATACCTTTTTCTGGTGGGAGGGAGTTTGGTACAAGCACCTTATTCTCCGACGTTCGGATGCTACAGCTTTGGCCACCTCCCATTGAACACATCCGCTCTGGCCTCCACCTCTGAATTGTATGTTTTACCCCACAGCCCTTCAAGTACAACTTGTTGACTCCACGGGCAGCTTGGCTAGCGGCTCTCATAGAAATACCATGCAATTTTTGCTCATTCGAGTTCGAGACGGCTGGGAGAACAGCGGTCAGTGGGCCCATGTACCACAGCGCATAGGGGTCCGAAAAATTAACCAACTCAGCGGTACCCCCTGGAGGTAATCCGACAGAAAATCTCCAAACTCACTAAAAACTTGTTGTGCCACCTGAAGATATCTCCGCGGGAATCCCATCTTCCTACTGGGTATACTTACTCGAAAATGATGCCCGACCTTTTTCTTTCTTTAGTCATAACGGCGGCCGTCGTGCTTATCGTCGCTTGGGCTATTGAAGTGTTTTCAAAAATAAATTCGTCGACACATAGTACGTAAGTTTTCCACCGTCTTTGGAAGTTGAACCCCGATCTGACCGAGCCATTGTATAGTATTTACTTGTTACAGCGGTATATGAACGGTATATATATTCACCATTACCTACCTACTACCATGAGCGTTATCAACACTGCCAACTCTTGTTCCACAACACGGATGCACAAAACAAAAACTTTGTCGCCGCTGCGATTCGGATTCCACAGTCGGGTGCAATCCTCCCGAATATAAGGGAACTTCAGGTATATAACCAACGTCTGTGTCGCCATCCCTCCTTGACCCGCGCGCAATCATGAATGTAACTGAGTTCATCGTTGACACATATGGCGCCGGAACCCCACTCGTATCTACTGCGAAGCGGTACCGCCCGTCTACCACCACCAAGAAAGGTTACATCCTGATCTTCGCGCATGGGACTGGATTCCGTACGTTTATCTTCTCCCTCTCACATTTTCTTACTGATCAGAAAGAACAGATAAAGAACACTGGGAACCAATTATCGAACGCTTGTATGCCCACGGTGGGCCCGTCGTCGAAGCATGGGCTATCGACTCTCAGACGCATGGCGCAGCAGCTACACTTAATAGAGACGCCATCGATGAACCGGGGTTCACCTACAGTAAGTTTAAATTGTTGGGCATGGGTTGATAGCTAACAATAATAGGTTCGTATCACTTCGCTGAAGCATGTGCGAACTTGTGTAAGACACATCTGAACGGGACGCGGCATCCGATCGTGCTTGTTGGCCATTCTGCAGGAGCTGCCTCCGCGTGAGTGTCCCTGAGAAATGTATCTTTCCAATACTGTAGATTAACGTCTCTTTCACAGAGCGTTAGTACCATCTTTCTACGGGCAATCCAGAACTCCACCTTTTTCGGCCTTGATACTTATTGAACCCGCCATCTGGCCGGGATCCATGATCGACACGGCGGACTCGCCGGCTTACAAGCTCGCTTGTGTTGCTATCCCACGCCGGCGGACAACCTGGGGATGCAGGGATGCTGTTCGTAAAGATCTTGGGAAGCGCGCACCGTGGGGAACCTGGGATAAGCGCATTTTGGATTTATATGTTGTGGGTAAAGTCTGTCATCGTTTTACGTCTACTGACTCAAATAGGAACATGGCTTCGAGGAGGACAAGGAAGGGGTGTCCCTCAGATGTAATCCTGTGCACGAGACGCAGCCATTCATCAACCAGATAAATGCCGTGTACCCGGTTGCAGAGTTGGACAAGTTGAGGAAGAAGGTGCCAGTGCATCTGGTCTACGGGGAGAGAAATGATTTGTTGTGTGTCTCTCGCTTGAATATACTGTATGGACGCTGATCGTTCCGTCAGCACCCGAGAAAAGCAAGAATCCCTCCTTCGAGGACGTAGGTTCGCCTCCGTTACCCGGATACCGAGAGCCGGACACTTGGTATGTATTCGCCACCGGTCTCACTTTACAAAGAGGCTGACGAGAGTAGGTCGTTCAAGAAGTGCCTGACGCCGTGGGCGACGTGTTGTTAAGTATATTGGGAGGATTGGAGAACCAAAGGTATGTCGAGCGGGAGTACGTCTTGTAGAAGCGCTTTAACGTTGGGATTTGGAGACATCAGTGGAATTAATAGATATTGTCATCTTGTTATCTTATCTTCAATGTTATGGTCAGACAGACCAAGTGCTGTACCCGCTCGACAATGGACAATTGAAAACTGCTATCCGGACTGAGGAGTCCATCCCCTCAAAAAAGCTAAGGCACTACCAGGGTTCGAACCTGGGTTATGGGAAGACTAATATCAGAATCCCATGTGCTGCCACTACACCATAGCGCCTCGATCTCTTGTTCCGAATTAAGAATCTGTAATCGGAACACAACGTCTATCTCCAGGATTCGGAGCAGTCTTTGCCCACTTTCGACATCAAGAGCGTATTAAACTCATGAGGGGTACTTAATTTGTGTAGTAGGATATTTACATATATAACGTCATACGAAATTAGCTGGTACGATCCTCATAACAAATTTGACATATAAAGAGTAGAGAATGTAGCAATCAGGGAAAAGTTGCTACAACGAGTGGCAGGTAGGAAAATGTCAACGGAAGTCAATGCGGTGAAATACAGATATCATCCTTGCCAGTGGAGCAGAACTATATCTCTCAAGGAGTAAGAGTAAGCCACACTCGCCAATGACAGCGGGGAAATACGATATTTGCCAAGGATACTACTAGCATTGATATCGCCATCATCATTTGTTGGCTCTGAAAGTCCTATATCTGTGGCTCAGATGCAGGGGGGAGCTTGCCAAACTCGGGGCTGGAACAGAGAGAAGGGATTGAAAGAGGGGGTAGAAGATTCACATCAAGATGAACTTGCAGGCGCTGCGGACCCTGGTAAGGTCGGAAGGGATCGCGGGGCTGGGCGCACGGGCGACGGTGAATGACTCGGATGGCGCGGGGGAAGGGTGCTAAGGCCCGGCTCCGAGCGGCGTCTGTCACCTTTCGTTGTACTAATGGCTAGGCTTTGGGGGCATGCGGGAATACACGGCTCAGAGCCGCGGCGGAGGTGATTGTGGTAAGCCGTGGGGTCAAGAGCGTTTGAATGGAGTTGAAAAGGAATGAGGGGAGGAGCGACTGAGCCCTGGAGAGGTGGGCGGGGAAGAACGAGGCTTGCAAGAGACGGAAGGAACCCCGAGGAGCTGCATGATTCGTCAGGGTATCGCACTGACGTGTCTAAGGGATCGAAGATCGGGGGCAAGGGTGGGCGTGAAAAAAGCTCGGGAGGCAGGTTGTACCTTGACAAAGAGGAGGGCGGCGTGGCTAGGACATTGTGCCTTAGTTCTTGAGCCGTTTCGATGGAGGGGCTAGGAGAGGCAGGCGGAGAGAATTGTGGAAGGGTAGGCGATGACGGAGACAGTGACATTAAGTCTATTGGCTGGATTTTATCCTTAGATCTCGACCACTTCTTGTCAGTCGAGCTCTGCCCGTGTTTCCGTATTTTATGCCTAGTCATATTGGCCGGATCCCCGGTTTGGTATGCTGGTTCGCATTCGTGGCAGACGAGATTCTGGAGACGGAGGCTAAGATATAGGACTGGTGTCAGCGTAATGGTCAATTAGATGATGGAAAGGACTTGCTGTACGACATTGACATGGACTACCAGGTTGCTTCGTTGTAGAGTCTTGAAATTGCAACCGTTCTGAAGACAGTGATACATTCTAGGTGATCATGCCCTCAGATGTGAATGACGGATGCTGATGAATAAGCAACTTACTCTTTGTCGCGCGCCTCGCCAGTCAGATGAGTCTTGCTATGTCGAAACAATCCCCCTTTTGAGATATATGTCTTCTTGCATGTCTCGCAAAGAAAATTTCGAGGTTTGGTTGTTAGGCGCTGTGAAGAGATGAAAATATAAGTTAGCAAACAAGAACACGGACACGTGGTAGAGATAAATCCACTCACTGGCATGTTTTTTGTCCGGAAGGGAAGAACAAGTAAGCATCAGCGATATCGAAGAGAGAGGTGTGCTGGAAGATCCCAGTTTTACCGACGAGCGATAGCTTTATAAAGCAAACGAGTCCTCGAATTTTCCTTCGTGAATCACGAATGTCTTCCAAATTCGTGAAATCCGCCGAATCTCCGAAGGGGAAGATCTTTTGTTAGGTTGCAAATTCATGTTGGCATACATTGTTTGAAGATAGCTTTTGCTGGACTAATCGAGAGGGACAAAGAAAGAGGGACATATGGTTCTGTTCTTCGCTTTATATTAAGCGAGCGTCACATCAGTCGACTTCTTTCTCGAGAGCAAGATCGGGAAGTGAACAAAAGGATAACGTAAGTCACCTTCGGGCACGAGGCATTCCGTGAGATAACTCGACTCTTTCAGGCGTATCCTTCAAGACAAAACGGGCAATTCTTTTGACTTAAAGACTGCTGCCAAAGATACGAGGATAGTGCCCATCGTCTGGGCTAAGACATCTCGGACCCCATCGAGTCACTGGCCAGTCATTGACAAAGGCTGGAAGTAGGAGAAAACCCAAATGAATCATACAGCCAATACAGCAGACAAAGAACTTCTGGGTGCAGTTTGAAAATCAAAGCGAAGACAAAGGAGAAAGGTGGACAAGCCAACGCTGCAACACTTGTTAGATGGCTAGACTTCGAAGAACCTAGTGGGTACTTGTGTAGATGCCAATAGTGGAGACAAAAGATCAATCGATCGCAGGGTCGTGGAAGTGATGCTGCAACTCCGGATTTTTCCGTGGCCGGTCGGAGCTTTCGGCCGCATACCCGAACTGACTTGAGCAGCGGCTGTGACGGTCCTTCGCGCTACCTCCCTAACTTCTCCCTTTTCCTGTGTCCAAATGATTTATGTTGTGAAAAAAATAGGTAAGCTCAAGGTCCCACTTCCCGTATCTCTCATTCCGCTGTCGTTTCAGTCTTAGTCCATCACAGTCGAGTCTCGACCTCGTAGCATGTTTTTTTTTTTTTTTTCGCTTGGAGATATAGGGCCATTAAAGTAATTCACCGTGCGGACCGCTAATGAGAGATCGTCGACATCTGTTGCTTCGACTCAGATGGAGATAACGCAAAACATAGACTTTCTTGTTGCAGCAGCTTCTTTTACTGCACTGGTTTAGCTCATCCAAACAGGAAACCTTTGTCTGTACCATGAAAGCACGAAATCGCCCGCTTTCTGCTGTCAACGTCACAGATCATCCTTTCAGCTTGATCGATTTTGATATTCGGAAACAAGCTCGGAAAGTCCCGTCAAGAATTTGTGATTTCGTCGTCACAAACATCAGTCGTTCCTTTGTAGTCTGTTTTTGGGAAGATGCTCATAGACGTTCAATTTTCCACTGCGCGGACCTTACTCCAGCCTTTATTCTTGAACGTGACCATTCACAACTCGCGTTTCTCTCTGGCGTTTTATTGTTCAATCCATCTCTACTACGGAACCTGCCTCGTACCGTATTGTCCCATCGCATTTTTGAAAATGCATTTTCAAGAGCCTCCGAGCAGCGCACCGAACAGTTTCCTTCAGGATACTACCTCCGTATTTTCAGCCTTCCGTGTCATTTCCAAGCGGCTGAAGCTTACCTTCCGAGTCCTGCCTGTACTGTGTGTATATGGACTTCGGGATCAATGGACGGTTTGAATAAGAATTTTCGTCGGAACCAGGAGGTTCTGGCAACGTGCGAGTCTTTTATCTTTCTCTAGAATATATCTTCTGACTCACTACTCTAGAGCATCTCCAATGAGACTATCGTCTCAGCACTTGTGCGCTCTCACATTCGCACTCTTCTCTCTAGTCTGACGCTTACACATGTCTCCTGGAAGCAATGCCAGCGTATAAGGGACCTACGCGTCCTTTCTGAATAGAACACCTGGGTTTGTAAATCCTTTTCACGCACTTCGGTTTCACGACTCGTTGTCCCCTTTCATGTTATCACGTTGCATGTACTCTCAACTCTCCCGCAAGTGTAGTCCGACAAGTATCTCAGATGATGACGAAGCAACGTCAAGGCGGCAGCTTGAAAGTACTTAGTTCTCCTCGAACATATTCATGACATGGCTAAAACGGCATGATAGTGGATTCAATGACATACTAGAAACCCCTGGCAGGGGCATCGACCGAATATTATTTACATCAAAAAATCTATTGTTCGTTACCAAGCGCACACATCCATAGGTTAAGGGTAGACGATTTTCCCCATGAACCATGAAGGGTGTCTCGTCGTAAACCACCGACTCCATTGTCGCAGCCAGCTAACCGACGATCAAGGTCAGCGTATCGCGGCTGTGTACCAGAGCTGATGCCTCCCTCAAAGAAGGGAACCCGCTGTTTTCCAAAGGCGAATGAAGTACACTGTGAGGCACGCTTGGAGGTCCGAACACCTACTTTTTCTTAGAAGAATACGGGCTAGGTGTAAGCATAGCTTACAGCGATACGCCCGGATCGGACAGCCGAGTAGCCACAGTTGTAGATATATATAGACTAGCTATACATACGTAGTAGGTAGTCGTTCGCTTCCTTCCTTCCTTTTTCCCTCTCACCCACGCCCATACTCACACATACATACGCTTCGTCTGTTCCCCGCAATATATACCCCGTTCCTGTTCGTTGGTGTTCCCTGATGTGATTCGTGAGTTCCTCATCCAGTGAGGCTGCCTCTGGAAGACGGCAGCCTTTCACAAGGCTACAGATCGGAAAATGCAGTAAAAGGCTTGAGGCCTGTGACAGGCGAAATGTCAGACCTTGCATAGAAAATTATAACGCGTACTTGCTACTATCTTTTACCTGAGGTTCTTCAATACCGGAATGTTTTGCCTAACCAATCAAAGCGGCTATGTGCATGGACAGGGCGATTGATTTTGAAATTGATTTCCTTTCTTGCTTCTTCCCATCACCATCGTTGGCTCGCTCTCTGGTAGTCGCTTTTCCCCCAATGTTCTCGCGACGCGACGAAGACCTTGAACGCCCCAAAATACCATCAGCCATGAATGAGCTCGTCGTCGATGACGGTGACGCAACGAACTTAAGTATACGGCATAGCCAGGGTCTCGCGTTTGATCGACGGTTCGAAGGTTCATTTTTGGGTTTTCCTGGTCGACGAAATCCGAGTACATTTGATTGTTTTGAAAGCTGTTCGATTCTATAATTCCAGTTTCAGATGTGCGCCTAGTGAAGACTTGTCGATGCGCCGGCCCATTGAAAAGGCAACAGTTCTCCAAACAATCGCCTTTCCTTCACTTTCCTCCACCATCATCACCCGCCAACAACTGGCCTGTCTGCGATGATATCTACTCTGGAGATCAATCTCGCCCTCCGTCGT